AGCAGTCTGGATGTGTTGCTGAAAAATGGCGTCGGTTGTGACTTGACTGAGCGCAAGTTGTGACATGAAGCCCGAGGCACCAAGAAAGTTCAATGCATTTACAATGATGGAGTTTAGCCTATTACTCTTATCAATTAGCATCTATTGAACTGTCACACTGTGAAAGTTTCTTGAACTGCTCATTGTGGCCAGTTATCAATTAGCATCTACAGTGGTTTCAGAGTAGACGGCACTGGCACCCCAAAATGTGTCTGATATAGGGGTCCATCTAAACCACCGGGATTGCGCCATCTACTGTGAAACCACTGTATTATGGTCAACTGTTCCGCTGCAAGTTCTGGGAAGCTGTTTGTGAGGTCATCTAAACTTGTCAGAAGCATGAACCGCATTTTGGTGCCTCTGCGTCTCCAGCAAGAATTCGAGGCCTTGTAGTTGCAGGCGCTGCGAAGTCTGAAGTATGAATTGTCGTTGAGCTCAGCTCAGCTCAAACAGTCAAGTGTAGCAACAATTATCTTGATGCACGTTCACCGATTGAAGAAGGGAGCATCGAAACGGCTGGGCGTCTGGAATTCCCTGCGACCAAAGTTCCTCCCTTCTCCTTCAATGTTCTCATGAAGCTAGACTCGCCAAGAGCAAGCTATCTTGTTCTGTCCCATCCATAGTGGCTCCCAATTCTTTCAACTTCTCGGCTGCAACCTTGTTTTGATGCTTGATGGCTCTGTACAAGGGAGAACGGCCCTTTGCGTCCTTCTTATTCAAGAGCTCAGGCTGGCACTGGACCAAAACCCCGATGGTTTTGGGGGTGCTGAAGCGCGCAGCAAGATGCAAAGAGTTCCAGCCATAGAAATCCGATTGAGCTGGATCAGCTTTTTTGTCCAGAAGCTCCTTCACAATCTTGTGGGGATCGATCTCATTTGCTCTCTTGAATTTTCCATCTGGCCGTGCAGCCTCTCGGATTAGCGTAAAGAGCGCACTCTTGCCCGCAGCATCTGTGTGACGGAGACACTCCTGGAGATAGCCTGGTTCAAACTCTTTAAGGCTCTTTTCCAGCTGTTCCCAGTCCTTCTTCTTGGCAAGACTGACTAAAGGACGAAAGGCATCGAACAGGTCCTTGACAAAAACCACCTCAAAGTCAATACCCAAGGCCAAGCAAAGGAACACCTCCGACGTCTGCGCATAGCCGATTGCCCCTTTGTGCAGGCCTTCCTTGCCTGTGTCATCCTTTTGTTTGGCCCCAGTGATGACAATGGGCTTAGCACCTCCAACAACACCGACAAGAAGCTCCCGCAACCAGTTGGCCAGCCACACATTGCCATAGTGCTGCTCCCAAGTAATGGCAAAGTGAAAGTCATGCATCAACGACATGAACAGGACATCATTGTAAAGGGCTTGATCTGCACCGGGTATCGATGCTATGAGGATTGCTTTGTCCATGTTGCCTGCTCGGAAACCATTCGTTGCCAAAGACTGCCAAGCAAAGCCTCCCACGCCGGGCTCGCCCATATCGATTTCCTGCCGCTGGATCTTTCCAAGCAGTTCCTGTGCTGCTTCTCTCTTCACAGGCTTAATTGTCTTGACAAGTGCGCAAACTGCAGGGAGTAGAAGTAGATCTGATGCGTACTTGATGGGACTTCTTCCAAGATAAGGGCTCCTGGGCCTCTGGTCCATGCTTTGAGCTGTGAATATCAATTTCAAATTGTCAGGCCTAGGAGTCTCAATCTTGGCGTCCTTCAATTCTTGGCCACCATGGTCTCTTGTGATTGGTTTCAGGTTGGTGTCATCAAAAACAGGCCACTTCTTCTTGAGCTCATCAGCCCATTCCTTCGGTTTTCCAATCAACTTTTTCTCCGGCGGATTCAAGCGATGTTTATTCTCTGCGATACAAAGGCGCCGAGCGATGGAAGGCGCTGCCAAGAAGCTTTCATCGCCTCCCTGACGTTGCAAACGAAAGGACCCCGTAGGGTGCACTTGAGTCACTTCAGCTACTTCACCTGCAAGAAGTGTCCACTGAGGATTTCTGCCTTTGTTGAAGACCCCCTGCTGCTGCTTTTGCATGTCAGTGGCATGTAACTTGAGCTCTTTGTCATCATGGGTCTTGACCAACATGCCTTCTTCGAGGCATTTTAACTTGTCTTGATCTTCTTGGACCATATTCTCCTTCTCCTTCCAGGAGCTCCGTTTCACCTTCTCATCGTACTCAAGCTCCTGAGCAATGTCTTTCCATAGCTCTTTGCCCGATTTTCCGTCCTTCCAGCACTGCAAGATTTTGCCAGCTATGGTGCCTTCCAGAGCCTCCGGTTTTTCTTGGCTCCACTTTGTTTCCAAAATGGAGCGGCACAGCTGTTGCAACTTGGCCTGGTTCGAACCATCCTTGGACAGGACATAGCTCCAATCGCCGGAGTCTATGCCGTACTCCACCAAGGCCTTCACAAATTCAGCCATCCTATCAGACGCCCCGGCCATTGGAAAAGAACTCAGCACTTCAGCAGAGTGTAATTTGCAGAATTTGGCTTGATGCAAGTGCTCAAATGGCAACAGCTCAGGAGGTCAAATGACATCTAAAATGGATTGTGGACGTCGACATCCAACGAAAAAGAACCTTCACATTCCAAACTGATTGAACACATGAGATCCGTCCTTTCATTACCTCAATCGCAGGCAGCATCGCACCGGTCGCGACACCAAAAAGCAGGTCGCAGCGTCGCAGAAGACTCTTCGCCGTGTCGTCTGAGTCGCAGCTTTGGTCGTGAGGACTACCCAGGCCCAGCTGTGGCGTCTGGGATCTCCGAATCTTCACCAACACTATGAACATCCCTGAACTCATCGTGGCCATTCACGAGATCGAGATGCTCGAGAGCATTCTCTATATATAAATATATACATATGTGTACATATATGTACATCGTGAGCATTCTAGGCTATGAGGCTATTCCACATCAATCTACGAGATCGAGATGCTCGAGATTCTCGTGCAAGAACTCGAAGTCCGAGCGTCTGCGATGCCAACATCCTGAGGTCTGGATGTGCTTTCAGACAAAGCCCCGAAGATTGAAACAAGACAAAGCCCTACCTGCACTGCTACATCCCAGTTCAGCACTATGTTCAAGTTCTAAAGACATCACTGGCTGAATATGTCCGAAACCAAGTGGCAGCTTCGTTCTTACGGGCTCCAACTATAGGTGCTGTCGTGAGCTTCAACCTTCAAAAAGAAGACGTACTGCAATCTAAGTCTCAAATCTCCTGGTCGTTGAGTCGTAAGATGTGTTCAAGTCATATTTTCTTACATCAGGAGTCCAGGAGTCTGTAAAACTCTTTGTGTGCATTCAGCATTGTGTAATCACCAAACATCTCCCATCTCCATATACAATTTGTTCGCAAAGGGCACCGAAGAACCCAAATGCCTGCTTTCACTCAGCAAATGCGTTGGCTTTCCAAGACGGATGTCTCAATCATCATCTCAGCATGTCCCGTCTCACAATCCAACCTCAGAAAAGCAGAACGTCATTACGTCATCGAAAAAAAAAAAAATAAATAAAATATATACACATATGTATGTATATACGCATTCTGGAGGCAAAGCCAAAATGTTTTGTACAGCCAAGCTGCACCCAACACTTGTTTTGAGGCTTAACTCTGCTGTTGGCTGCAAAATGCTGCAGGCATATCCATTGGGAAGGTCAGGGAATCAGTGACACAACGGATGATTCAAGTGTATGGCAATCCGGCAGGCAGGGCACGACCAACAAACAGGATAAACACAAGCAAGAGGTCGCAAGGAGGAACAGAACTCGTGTTTTCTGGTTCTGGTGCCCCATGGGAATGAGCAGCTCGGTCATAGTTTTTGTGATGAAGGCACTCCTCAGCGAGGAGTCATATGCTCAGCTCCAGGGTCAAGCTGCACCCTGCAAGGATTGTGGAAACACTAGGCAGGCCAAGGAACATCAAAGCCGTCTTGTAGGACTGGCATAATCCCTTTCGCATTCTAGATCGCATCTCTTCCACGCCAGTAGTCAGTATGATGTTGTCAGAATTCAACGCCTTCTGTCTTCCAACAGAAGGAATCTGAAGGGTCTCACTTGCTTCCATCATAGAATCTCCGGCCAGAATGCTGCGTAAAAAAAAAGGCAGCCTTGAGACGACTAAAACCAGAGTGATTCTACAAAACATCTGCACCTTGTTCCTTGTGCTGGTCTGTGCCCTTTCTGTGCCCCTTCTGCCCCTACCACAGAGTGGTCAATCAACCAAATTCAGCAAAGTGACGGACCGGGAAAGGTCGGGAGGTGTCAACCAGAGTGGTTAGACCTCGCTCGCAGGGTTCAAGCTCCACGTCTTGCTCCATCGTAGTGCCGTTTTGGTTGCGCCGCACCATGAAGCACAAAGCACAAAGAAGTGAACAATTAAAATGCTCAATGTGTGGAAGAAACGATTTAACAAATAGGATGAGGCCGCACTGGCCGATGAAGGCATGGACCCCATGCTAATGTGGTCCTCTGGTAGTCTTGAGGTGCCTCTCAGACCCTCCCAGACTGGAAGCTGCACTGCTTGGAAATGGTGCTGAGCTGAAATGTAAAATGCAAGGCTTCCTGAAACATACTACGCTAGAGCCAAGTACCGCGCTGCAATATAGATGGACACAACGTCGCAATCTTGAGGGTGACTGTGCAATGTCTTGTGGTGGGTCAAAAGGATTACTGTATATATCATATATAACTATATATTATATACATGTACTATCTGCAACTGAGAACTGAGATAAAGCTACAAGCTTTCTTCAAACGCTTAAAAGCAGCTGGATCGAGTGTCCAAGCAAGGCAACTTTAGATAAATGATCTAGGTGTCCGACCCTTGATTAGTCCAGCAATGTCCTTTTGGCATTCTGCAGGTGATCGTCTTTTGTTCTGCAGTTTTTACTGTAGTTAGACCACTTTGGATCTGAATCCAGCAAGAAATAAGCATCGAATGTTTTTCGACATGTCACACGGCACCTGGCGATGGTAATGTTATTGGATCAATGCGAGAAGATCGTAACCGGCTTCCTTGGCTACAGCTTGTGCATCAGTTTGGTTGGTGTCCTGGAGTGCATGGTCGGCCCCGTGATTGAGCAGTGTCTTTGCTGCTTCATATGCTTTCACCTCGGCCGCCATGTGAAGAGCTGTTCTACTTCTATCCTCCTTGTTCTGCTTATTCACCTCGGCACGTCTTTGGATCAGGCAACTCACCACTGACTGATGGTTGCGGCGCGCTGCCGCATGAAGTGGCGTAGTTCCGTCTGTCGCAACTGGATCCAAGGAGCAGTTTCGCTCCAGCAACTGGGCGCACAAGAGCTCCAGGAGCTCAGAAGCTCCGGCGCTTGCAGCTCTGTGCAAGGGTGTGCGGCCTTGTGAGTCTCTTGCTTCAAGGTCGGCGCGGTGCTCCAGCAACAGGCGCAGCGCTTCAAGCCGGTTCGGGCCACCCTCCTCACTTGCTCCCGCACCATACATGCACAACAGGTGAAGAGCGGGTAGAAGGCCCTCCGGTGTGGCTCGGTTCAAGTCCTCTGGGCTGAAGGATTGCAAAGATCTCTTCAACACGTTGGCCGCGCCATGCTTCGCCGCCTCATGTAGAAGGGAAACTCCATTCTTTGCAGTGGTCAGCTTGGCTTGGTGGTCCAGCAACTTGATGACAACCTCCTCTTCGCCAGCTGCCGCTGCCAGAAGCAGCGGCGTCCGGCCAAGTGCACCTGTGCAGCCAGGACATGGTGGCGGTGAAGTGCTGTGAAGGTATCTGGATTTGATGACAAAAGCTTCCAGACGTTCGACCCTTAACCATGCCAATCCGTTACACTAAACCCTCCCCGGCAGTTGCCCCCAAAGTAAACCTACACATCCTACAACACCTACAAACCCCGTGTCCCGTGTCCCTCAAGTTCCGTCCAAATCAAAAACGCGGCCCAGCCTTGTGCAGGCACATTGATCGAAGCCCTCTGGTCGATGAGGAATTTTAAGGTGGTGGTTTGTCCATGCATGGCTGCCCAATGAAGAGGCGTAAGGCCCATGTCGTCCTTGGCTGCAATAGAGTCCAAAGAGCTCAACATCTGCACAGCATCTATCTGACCAGCAGCTGCTGCCCAGTGCAAGGGCTGTACGTAGTGCTCGTCTGTGGCTACTTCTGCACGGGCATTCAAGAGAACCTCCACAACGTCGTTTGCATGGGGATTGAAACGCATGGCATAGTGAAGTGGGGTCCTACCCTGATCGTCCACTTCGTTCAAATCTCCCTCAGCTGCTAGTCCCATGTGACGGAGATGCAGTTGGAGTTCAGTCTTGTCGCACGATTGCACCTTTGAGTGCAACGCCGTACGTCCATGCCATGACACTCTGCGGGCTTCATACCTGGCAATCTCGAGTTGAAACGAAACACGAGCATTGACACACACACCTTCCTGCTCTGGCCGCTCGACGAGCTTCCGAAGCTTCTCTCCAAAGAAAGAACGGAGGTACAAGTTCAGCTGCTCATGTCCAACAACTAGCTGAATCTCCTGCAGGATCATGGCTCTGTATGTCCTTCTTAAGGTTTCTGCCTTCGCAACGTCTATCTCCAGCAGTTTCTGCCCAAGCTTCTGGAATGTGTTCCTGAGGCCCAGGTGACCTGCTGATTGTGTGACACACCCCGCAGGCGTTGTCAGGTCAAGGGGAAGACCGAGTTGAAGGGCACGCATCGCCTCATAGAGGCACCAAGCGCGACTGAATGTGGTGAAGTCATCATCACACACCATGACCACTCGCTTGCAAGCCTTGAGTGCGAGGTTGAAGGGGCAAAGGGGCAGGGAAGCTCCCAATTCAACCTCATGCTGACTGGTGGCAAAGGAACATATCCAAAAGGCCGGGTCGGGGTTCTCGTCGCCAAGTGCATCCACAAAATGTCTCAGTGCCTGCACTAAATGCCTGAACTCCTGACCCCACTAATGTGTCACGAAGTAGTCAATCTTATTCTCTTCAAAAAGCTCTGCATAGCTCATTTGCTTCTTCTCTGTTTTCTTCTTGACGATGTGCTCAACCACCTCATACATGTTCCAGCAGCTCTTCCCTCGTGTGCCAGAATCCACCCGCCTTGGCTCAAGACAAACCCATGACAAGGTAGCTGGAAACCCATGCAATCCTCTCGAATGATATATCTACCCCCTCGATCCACCAAGTCTTGTTGCAGTGGCACCCCCAAAAAAAAGACTAATAGGCCCTAGGCCCCGTTTTCGCACGCATTGCGATCTATTGAATGAGGGATGAAGTCCAAACACCCATCATATGAACCATCTCATTGCCATATCAATTTCGCAAGTTACCATGACTCTAAATAAGACTTAGTTTAACAAAGTAGCAGAGCAGCACCCCTCTCCGTAGATTGTACATACATCATGCCCTCCTTGTATCACCGCGGGGCGCTTGCCCATATGGCAACTCTTGTCGTGAGCCTTTGAAGCCTAGTTTCACGACAATGTTCATTACTTGTCGAGGCGGGCGCCCGCCGCAATTTAGGGAAGGACTGCCGGCCCATCGGGGATTGAATTCAAGGAGGGGGGAGCAGGTGAGAAAGACTGATCATGAAAAAAGATTCCACCTTAGTGCATGCACTAGCACCTAAACGTCCCACAAAACAAGACTATAATTGACCGAACCTTCAATGACCTGCCAAAAATCTATAATATACAGTAATTGACCTGCTCAACATGCATCCATGCATGTCCATAAGTTCAAAAACCACGAAACATCTCAATCAAATCGTCGCACATCTCCTGCAGCGTCGAAAGGCGAAGGCCCCGCTGCTGGGTGGGCCGAACTCGCAGTCGGCCCACGAAGCTGCTCACAGGAGGGGCCTCCCAGCAACCAAGCACTAAGCAAAAGTGCTTGGTGGGAGTTGAGAGTGTGGACTCATGGAAGTTGCAGTGAACCAACCAATGCAGTCTTTCATCTTTTATCTTACCACTCTGGGATGGTCATCCATGAAGAGCCTAACAGGCCTAACGGCCTAACACTGAAAACTTAAAATTGGTTCGCAAAAAAGAAAAGCTCTGTGTGCACCAGGCCCACCTCGGGTGGAAGCTGCTGCAAAAGCACCACCAGGTCCCTCTCTTTACCAGCAGCTTCTAGTTCCAGCTGGGGCTGCTTGATCACATCCAAGGAAACCTTCCATTCTTTCAAGGCACTCGGGGACGCACCGTCCTCCAGGATGAAATCCGTCAGCTGGTAGAACCCTTTCACTCGAAACTTCGATGTTGCCGCGAAAATGACTTCAGCATCTTCCGGAGACTTCGAGAACGGGGCTGCTGAGACTGCCCTTGCTTCTAGGATCTTGAAGATGATACCTGCAATGTTTCGGGGCCTCCCTTCGATGCCATGGCCTAGCAGCAAATTCCGCGCCACTTGGGAACTGCTGGTCCCACTTGGAAAGCCAGGCCATAAGATCTCCGAACCCACATGAATACCATAGTCCTCGAGGTACTTGGCAACACATGCGTTCTCCCCATCACACTGGAAAGTCACCGTCCGGAATACATAGCCCGAATACAAGGGGCAAGCCTTCAAAGCCGAAGAGATGTGATGAGCGTAGGGGGCCCACAATTGATGGGAACGGGGATCATTACTGGAGAGCGCTTGTTGGCAATCTCGTGGAATTCGCGAACTCAGTGTGTGGACATGAAGTGCAAAAATGGTCTGGGGAGTGGCAGAGGCCCCTTCCGCAATGGCCTTCAACACGAAGAACTTGGCTGCTTCTACCAAACCCTTCATTGAGTTCCCGTCACTCCATTCCAACAAATCTTTCTGCGCGGGCTTTGGCCACATCTTCTTCCATTCGTTTTCCCAATGTGGAAGCAAGATGTCCAAAAGGAATTGCTCTAGACCGCACTTGTCATGCCCAAGGCTAGTCTCACTCGAGAAAGCACACAAACTGCTGCCTTTGAGAGTCAATTGGCTCGGTGCAACGGTTGCATCTATACAACTGCCTCTGCCATCGAAATGCAAATCAACAACCTGGCTGTCTTGCAAATGGCCCATCTCTGGAAACACGAAGTCGGGGTCTTGCCCGCCTTGGTTTGGGAAACTGAAGACCTCTGGCACTCCACCGGATGCCACTGTGATCTCGAGCCGGGCACAAAGAGCCCAAGGATTGGACGAGTCCCAACTTCGGATCTTGACGATCTGCCGGGACTTGAGAGACAAGGTCTTCCACTGGCCTTGCGGATGGCCGTGCAGCGTGCTTGGGACATCTCTCGCATATTCTTTCTTGTGGTTGCCTGAAAACTCCAGGCAGAAGCCCAACACCAAGTCACGCGAAGCGAACACCTTTGCGCGAATGATTGAAGGTGTCATGCCATCTCCCATGCGCCCAGCAAAGCTCGTGCCAGTGTTCTGTTCTTTATTTGCCTGGTCTGTCAGGGTCTCATTGCCAACTTCGAAGTCTGAAGAATCAGACTGTAGCAGCGACAATGTCACCAAGTCATCCTTCTGCCGCGCTCTCTCCTGCACTTCTTTGAGTCTGGCAAGTCCTTCCATGTCTGCATGTGTCAGTTGCAGCGGGAAGTATCGCTTGAAAATCTCCAGCATCTCTGTTGATTTCCAAAACGTGGCCCATAGCATCGCTGTCTGACCCGCCTCGTTCCTTCTCAAGGCAATACTGCTGTCCTTCTCCAGCATCCACTCCACGGCCGCTGTGTCATTGAGCTGAGCAGCCAACAAGAATGCTGACCAGCCAGCAGAATCTCGGTCATGCAGGCTGCTCACTTTGCCTTCCAAATCTCCTTTGGAAGATCTCAGGAGGTCTTGCCCCGGAGTGGCCACAGTAACGCCGAGCTGTTTCAAGAGGAATTCTTGTGCATCAGAGTGCCCCTTAGTCATATTTTCCAAACGCGTTCGCAACTCCAGCTTTGCAGACTCCACTCTGGACAGCACCTTCTTCGTGAAGCAGCGGCAACGCAAGGTTGCAATGCACTTGTGAGTTTCGCCCGGAACCCCGCAAGAGACCTCAAGAAGACAAATCACTTCCCTCACGCCCAACGGATTTGGCACATAAAAGTGGTTTCGTGCTGCCAACAGAGTAATTCCTTCGCAGTCCTGCAGCTTTGTCAGCATATCCTTCACTGCACTACAATTCTCCAAATCTAGCACCACTGTGAGGATGTCCATTGTGGCCACGAGTTCTTCAGCACTGACTTTCCTCAACAAGGACTCGTCATGCAACAAGAAGGATGCAAAACCAAGGTGAGCGATGTTTGAGCTTCCCTTGAAGCTGAACTCCAACTTTCCTCCCTGCTGTACATCTACTGGCTCCAGCTCATCCTCCAAGTTGCCTTGAAGGACTTTGCGGATGGTCGTTTCAGCCTTCTGCGCTTGCGAAACTAGTCCTTCTGCAGTTGGTGCCCCTTCTGACATGCAGTCTTGAAACCAAGCTGTCACACCAGTGTCGATCATGAGTTCCTTCTCGACGTGTTTGAGATGAGGGAAGGCTGCATCTTTCTTCAACTCCCTTGCCGGGTCACTGCAAACTTCGTTTGATCTGTGCAAAATTGTGGCCACCTCCTGCCAGTCCAAATCTGTTGTCTCCGCAGAGAATGGCTTTGCAGCGACATGTCTTTGCAGCTGCTTGAGCGGAATGCGGCCAGGCGTTGACAGGAGACTTTGCCGAATTGACGTCAAGCAACCAAGGAAGGCGTCGTTGAGCCTTGGTTTCAGTTTTGGAATGGCCACATCAAATGGAGTCTGATCCAGCTGATCTCTCTTTTCTTTCAAGTCTGGACTGGTGCGAAGTAGCAAGTCAACAAGGTGTTCATAGCATCCACCGTGCGCCGCGATCAAGTGAAGTACTGTTGACCCCAAAGCTACACCACAAAGCTCGCACACGCGCTCTGGGAGAGGCTTTTCAAGTTCCTCTCGCGAACATGCAGACGCAAGTAACCTGCTCACAGCTGGTCGGTGGTGGACAATGGCTACTGTCAGGGGCGTCCACCCACAAGCAGGAGCATTGATGAAAGAGTGAAGAGCCTTTGTATTCAGCGCCCATTCAATAATGCCCACATTGCCACTCTTGGCCGCAAAATGAAGTGCCTTACCCGGAAATGCTCCGGTTTCCAACAACAGCCACTTCACTACGTCGTTGTGGCCCATGTAGCTAGCGACTTCTACGGGAAGCAGTTTCTCTTTTGAGCCACGGAGGTGAATGTTGGCACCCCACTCGAAGAGAAGTTGGGCAGCTTCCAACTTCCCGTAAGCAGCAGCTAGCCAAAAGGCAGAGTAACCATAAGGTCCATCATCAATGGGGAATCCACCTTCTAGCAATCCTCGCACTTTGCGTCGCAACTCTTTGCCTCAAATCTCAGGTGTTTGTGGAACAAGTGCGTGTCAACACGACACTTTACTCTTGGTGAGTCGTGCAAGCTACTCCCCCAAAAAAATTACAAGTGACAAGTGAAATCGCTAGGCCCAAGCCTGTCATGACGGCTTCCTCCATGTACTTCCAGTGTCTTGCAATGGCACGACCATCCATTTTGTCCTGCTTGATCTCCAGAGGACTGTCTGGCTTTGGTGCAGAGCTTTGGATCAAAGTCTCCAGGATCAGCGGAATCGGCGCCTCAGGCTGGCTCGCTTCCAAGGTGGCGTGGATCAGGTGCATCATCTCCTGCACTTGTTCCTGCAGCAAGCGCACCGAGCCAATTGGCAGAAGGTGGTTTATGGCTTGAGCACGAGGGGTGCTCCGTTATTTCCTGACGGAACGCCCCAGCTCGAAATCCTCAAACACACCAAGATTTGGTCACCAAAATTGTTACTATTTTGAAAAAAGACAATCGTGTTTTATCATGACATGTTCGATTGAAACTTGCCTATTCCATTAGAATGGCAACACCACAAGTGTGTAATTGCAACATTTAAAACAATGCTTGCCACCAACGATTTGTTTGCTGTTGGTTGCTCTTTTTCAAAATAAAATAGGATGCGTTTCTCAACCTGTCTTGATGATACAACCTTTTCGTTTAGAGTCTTCTTACAAAAATCTAAACTCACAGCCGCAAATGCCACAGTAATAGTTTCAAAGGCTATACTGCTTTGGTTTTCTTGAAGGTGTTCTTTGTTGTTTCTAATGCTTGGACTGGTGCACCTCATGGATACGATGTGTATGACAGCACTCAACTATCTGTTGAACAATTATGTTGGTACTTCTTGTTGGTACTTCTTGATTGACCACCTTCACAGCTTCTTATATATCTGAATTTTGTTCCCTTCAGATCGACTATTGTCAATTCACTGAACTTGCAAAGCCTCACTATGCAGCTTCCAATTCGTTTTCACCTTCTGATTCTGTCGTAAGACACGTGTTAGTAGACCAACAGTTAGGAGGCATCAAATAGTGTTCATTGCGCACTACATGCTGATTTCATTGATGTCTGTCATAAAAATCTGAAAAATCTGAAGCGCCTTTCAGTTCGCATCAATGACGAAAATGGCACTGTGATACACCTTTATCAGATTAGTACTTGAGCATCAAGTTACTAAATCAGACAATGCAATAACATATATTAGTCCTATCAAATTACTATATATAAGTAACATGACTACAAATGAAGTTGCTAATATAAAAGAAGAAGTTGCCCAAGAGCAACAACCCGTACAACAAAATGAAGATGTACCTGAAACACAGCACGAGAAACTTCTGGAGTAATTAAAGAACAGAATGAAGGCGACAACAATGCCTTTGATATGGATAAGGGTATACCAACAACACAAATTTGAAGAATTAAGGAACCTCTACCAAAGGGCAAACACAAAGAGATCAAATGAAATGCCCCAAATGTTTCAAGGAAATTACGATTGAAAGTTACAAATGCACACATGACAAGAACTGCCAATGTAAGCAAATATCAGAAAGCAGGCAAAACCACATGCAAAACCAAGAGACAAAGTAAACAAGCCTTTTGAAGAGACAACAAAATGACATAGTAAATGAAATACGGGACGTTGCCCCACAAAAGTTCGTACAGTAAGCAATGTTATTAATAGCATGTCGAATCAGCAGTTTAGCACGGCCCCACCTTCAGCGAGAACATATCAAACAGGAAAAGATCGGAGAAGTACAAAACCCGGTGCAAAATGTTAAGTTGCAAAATGCTGCTGGTCTCAACACAATGCAGACGTGTTTTTCCGAGCGCCAAACCGGTCGTGACGAGGTGAGGACACCAGGTGTCTCGGAAAAGCCTTACCGATGTTTAAAAAGATTATCCCGGCAAGAGACCCCAAACAGTGTGTGTGAGGTCTGTAAGCAGAAAGTCTACAAATCTAGATGAGTGGGTGTGAGTGTGAGCGTGAGTGAGACTGTGAAGGTGGGTGTGAGTGTGGGTGAGAGGGAGTGTGAGTGGGAGTGGGAGTGGGAGTGCGAGTGCGAGTGCGAGAGGGAGAGCGAGAGTGAGAGTGAGAGTGAGAATGAGAGTGCGAGTGAGAGTGTGAGTGAGTGAGTGAGTGAGTGAGTGAGTGAGTGAGTGAGTGAGTGAGTGAGTGAGTGAGAGAGAGTGTGAGTGTGAGTGTGAGTGTGAGTGTGAGTGTGAGTGAGTGTGAGAGTGAAGGTGGGTGTGAGAGTGAGAGTGAGAGTGAGAGTGAGAGTGAGAGTGAGAGTGAGTGTGTGAGTGTGAGTGTAAGTGAGCATGAGTGAGAGTGAAGGTGGGTGTGAGTGAGCGTGAGTGAGAGTGAGAGTGCGTGTGATTGAGAGTGGGAGAGTGGGTGTGAGTGCAAGTGTGGGTGAGAGTGAGAGTGGGTGAGAGTAAGTGTGGGTGAGAGTGAGAGTGTGAGGGAGTGTGAGTGTGAGTGAAAGTGGGAAAGTAGGAGTGGGAGAGTGAGTGAGTGCGAGTGTGAGTGAGAGTGAGGGTGAGTGAGAGTGAGTGAGTGTGTGAGGGAGCGCGAGTGTGAGTGAGAGTGAGTGTGAGTGGGAGTGAGTGTGGATGAGAATGAGCGTGAGTGAGAGTGAGCGAGGGTGCGTGTGAGCGCGAGTGTGAGTGAGAGTGGGAGAGTGAGCGTGAATGCGAGTGTGAGTGACAGTGAGTGAGTGTGGGTGAGAGTGGGAGTGTGAGGGAGTGTGAGTGTGAGTTAAAGAGAGAGTGAGCATCTGAGAGCGCAAAGTGCTGCACCTGCCACGAAATCCGCACTTTGAGGTTCACCAAGTGCTGTGCCTGCCACGAAATTTGCACTTCAAGGTTCACCAAGTGCTGCGCCTGCCACGAAATCTGCACTTCGAGGTTCACAGAGTGCTGTGCCTGCCACGAAATCTGCACATTGAGGGTCACAGAGTGCTGCGCCTGCCACGAAATCTGCAAACGACCCACATATCCAAAAGTCACGATTCACTGCACCTGTCACGAAATCTGAGCTTGTCGACGATCACCACCATGTCCAAAGTGCTGCGCCTGCCACGAAAACGGTATTTCGAAGTAAAACACCTCCGATCCCTTGCACCCGTCACGAAAAGTCGACTTTGCAGCACCAAAACACGAGGCTTCCCTTGTGCCTGCCACGAAAAGTGACCACCATGTGCGAAAATGCGCGCGGAACCACAACGAGAGCGCAGTCGCTAGAAGCACCCGCCGGGCCCCCAGATTCTGCGAGCCTGCGCAGTCGAAGTGCACATGGACGATGTCGAGAGGCATGAATGTACTGTAAATAGCAGCGAATTAGCCGGACACGGCCGCGCGGAACAGCGATCTAAGCACACCTGCTTTTCTTCCTGTACGGTAAGAACCCTCTCAGTGTGCCCACACTGTTTGGGGAAAAACTGTTCAATTGTTGTAGAAATGCACGAAGAAAATGTCACAATCGTGTCTTTTTGAATAATGCTGTATATATAACATGTTTTTTGATTTTGATGTGTTTAAGGTTTTGTAGCGATAGCATGTTTGTGGGAATGTTTCCCGAATGGTTGTTTTCTCTTTGTTTGGGAAACTGATGCTTTGACGGTTTCCACTGGCAAACGAAGGTCAGTCAAAAAATGCACAACATTATATAATGATATTTCTACTACTGTAATACAGAACTATTGTATACCCCCGTGTGACCCACGGTGACTAAGCCCCAGTTTGGAGTGCTTCGTACCTACTTCGTCACGTGGGACGTCCGCGCAGGTGGCTTGCCGGGCCAAGGGATGCAATTGGCGTGTTCCCTAAAGGGTATTGCCCTTGCAGACTCGTTGCGCACATAAGTGCAACGACTAGTGATGGGAAAGGCATGGCAAGCTGGGTGAAAAAAGGTTTATCGGCCGCTGCTTTGAAAGAGTTTTACTACTACATATGGAAAAGGCAAGGCTGGGACAACGAGGCGTCCAAGACTCACACAATTTGAGTAGCATAGTTGTGCTTGTTCAAATCGACATCAGTTACTACATGGGGTTCAACATGTGTTCCTATATGAGTTCCTGCTGTCCTTATATGAGTTCCTGCATGCTGGATAGATGCAGGCCACAAAGATAGAGGCTAGCTTTTGGTACAACATGCATACTCTTTACATGGCACATAGTACGTAACGCAATTCATTTGCAAATTGAACACCCTTGCAAAGATTGAAGATGCAACCTTGCATTGTAGGAGCTATAGCACAACTTGTTTAGATATTTGCTGTACCAGGTAATTTTGACTTTCGCGCGAAACCAATTGAGGCTAAAACTATTTGTCAGCATATTAACACTGCACTCTAATGTGTATAACGATTTGCTTTGTTGGGGCAAGCGCTTTTTTTGGCCGCGTTGTTGCTGTAAAGGCTAATGGTTTGGCTCATGAGGAGTGAGTTCCCAATCTCATCATGGCGAAAGTCCTAGGTTTCTGAGTGCATGGTGTGTGCTGAAAGAAGTACTGGCTAAGTGTGCACCACCAAATGCAAATTTTGATCCTGCTACCGTCTTGCAATCACCACTATGGAATGTTTGGACTTTAGCCACTGGATATGCTCAAATGGACACGCACGGCACTTTATGAAAGAAAGAACGACGTGTGTTCTTAGTGAGGGGGTGCAACACGCGACGTCCAAAAAATGTGTTGACTTGTTTTGCTTGTGGCTTTAGAGGCTATTGGTGTGCCCACGAGTGCGAACAATGAGCAATCCCCATTCTGGAACGTATAGTGCCTCAACTCACAAAGGTTGGTTGAGAAAAGCCAACCAGTTTGTGAGTGTGTAAAACATGGCCATATCCAGTGCAAAAGTACAGTCACCTTCCAGCGGACACGTTCAATTAGATTGTCAACTGCTTTCCCTTGCCTTTCAATCGACTGAAATTCTTTCACATGTAGACCCATAAGCATGTTATGCTTAGGTACATGTTGCCTAGCACTGAGTAATGCCAGAGCATTAAACCAGGAAATCGAGCAAGTATCGTGAAATGGCTACTTACAAAGTAGCAACATAGATTGCCAATATGGTTTGAACTCTCATTCTGTGGTTGGACACCAGTACATTGGCCCTCCTTGAAGGAGCGACTATTAACTTGGCTGTGACCACCAAAGATTTGTCGCAGGGGATGGCGGAGGAAGCACCATGATCAAAAAGCGATTGCCTACTTCAAACATTATGTAAGAAAAGTATGGCTACAGTCAGAGACAAACTACACAAGTAAAACACATAAAAAATATAAGTGCCCTGCACTATGAATGCCAGACGCCAACAATAGTTGCCTCACGGTACAATTAAACCGTGCGCTAAACAAAAGAATTTATATATCAAATTGTTTGGCATGTTCTGTAGATAAACACAGCAAAACTTGACGAGGTATAGTTCATGGCCATGCCATGGCATCCATTTCTTGTACTGAAGGATCCACATTTTTAGTGTTGAGGAAAGCGCTGCCTACAAACTGGATGAATACTACACTAGTTTGATATATGGTTGCACACATGTCCCTAAATACTTTCTCAAGTGCTTCCTACATACTTAGTGTGTGTAACATACCAAGGCATACAAGACTTACTAGTAATTTAGAATATATAGATATATTAACAAAGTTTTGATGGCGGAACAACATATGCAGGCACTAAATTTGTAAAATGATTGGTGACAGGTTCATCTGATTTAGCCCCGCTGTTGCTGAGGGTGGCGCAGGAGGTGATGGGCACACTGGTGCCCAGATTGATGGATTTTCAGCAAACAAACAACTTACACCACAACAGAAGTTGACACCACACTAACAGCAAAAGCTAACCAAGCAACAACATATATACTAAAACTGAAGAAGTAGATACATCTCTAAACTAGGACTCCTAGGACTAAAAGCTAGCACTGCTGATGTAAATGCTCAAGCTCAAGTAGATACCAATCAAGTATCAAAAGCCACCCAAGTAACAACGCATACCAAAACTGAGACAAACACCGCTTTAAGCTTTAGTTTTGAAGGCTATATAAATAGTGCAAATGTTCATGCTCGAAGCTCAAACAACTCATCATCGGCGGTCAAAGCCAAATTTATCAATCTGGTTCAGGATTCAATATGAATTCGGTAACAACACCGTTGGTATTAGGAGACTGCATGTTTTTTCAAGGTCATATTATTCAATTAACAACCTGCTGACAGTCTCTTTCTCTCTCTCTCTCTCTTTAATACACATTGACAGGTTTTAATACAATACAACAGACATCTTGAGCAGTTCTGATTGACTATTTCCAAGACATGGAGTTGAATATTTCAGGTGAACGGTGATGCTAATAGCATGTTGAATGTGGGACATGCCATCGGAGTATCAACTGGTAATAGATATGCAAACAAAAATCAGGAATTGGCAATTGGCAACTGATACAATCCTTTACGAAGTCCTAAGTGATGGTGTCCGCCCTTCAGTGGAATACGTGAGATATAAACACTTAAATTCAGTGTTGAATAGTGTAAGTGTATCAGGTATATCTTTGTCAGGAGGATCGAATTTAAACATCGTCAATACGGCTTTCTTTAAAGAAACACAAAGAGGTACAAATGAACTAGTTTTGGTGAATGGTCCTTCTTATTTAGGTCGTGCAATCATCGGGCACACGGGCACACTTTTCAGAATCATGTGGGGATTTGTCCAGATAATCGCTTAATGGAACGGAATGATGGAGCAAGGTTCAGCATCCTTTGGTTCTACAGGCACGCTTTTGCGATAAGGACATCGACAAATGACTTTAAGGACATCGTTTGACCAACAGCATCAGCATATGAACAGCTTACAAAGGCAAAATTGTAATATATATATATATATACGATTGCTTAGTATATATATGTACAAAGCCCTATGGCGCTTTCCAAGGAAATGGGTATGACGGTCTTGATAGAGAAAGTTGTAAAGTTGTATATTCAAGAGCACTGATAAGTACAGTATGTACAAGTATGTCTGTATACGTGTGTGTGTGTGTGAAAGAGTAAAAAACTAGAAATCGAACCATGTGTCCTGCACCATTGGGTCGCAGGAGACGCCGGCTTCCACATCCTCCAGCAAGACATCCGCCTGTAAAAGTCGTGCTGCGGTCTGGTACACTTCGCAAGCGACATCCTTACATCGACCATTTGGGGCAGCTGTCGAATAAAACATCTCCACTGCCTTCTCGATCCTCCTGGTGTGCTTCTCAATGTCATGCTTCTCCTTGTAAGCCCCATACCACTCAGACAAAGCTTTGGTGCAGTCTTTGATGTGAGTGTGCTCCTGAAGAAACTGCAACATTGCTTCAAGAGTAAGCTCGCCCTCAAACTTTACCGGGCGTTTCTTGTTTCCTTTCACGAAGAGCTTCATGTTTGGCATGTAAGGTTCTGGGAAATAGTCCGCGTTCGTATCGTTCTCATCTGTGTCCATTACTGCCACAACTACCTGGTCCTCACTGGAATTCCCAAGGTTCTGTGTGAGCTGGGCGAGCTGGTGCATTAATGGCTTGATTTGTGTGGAGGGGATACACGAATCAGCTGCGCAGGCAACGAAGACTGAGCAATCACGTGTGACCACCAGTCTTTTGAACTCGTCGGCGACCACAGTCAAAAGGCCAGTCTTAGGATCTGGATTCTGTGGAGGTGGCGGACCTGATTTCACTTTTGCAGCTCCGCACTTCCAGCATGCTATTGCAGTTGATGAATTCCTGGTTTGGCGGCCTTGCCGTTCACATGCGGAGCACCTGCAAAGCCAAGCACCCTTGGGCTGACACACGTGCAAAACCTCCATCCTTGAAGGGAGATTGCCCAGGGCAATGCGGAGCTCTCTGATCTGCCCGCCGAGCATCCATTTCTTCTGGGACTTGGAACAAAGGCCTTTCGTCCCAAAGATAGATAGGCCATATTTGGTCACCAACGAGAAGGGTCCTTTGGCCGCCAAGCCCGGATAGCCTGGCTCGATCTCCAAGATACGCTCCCCATCGAGCCAAAAAAACCATTGAGAAGGGGAGATCTGCAGAGATAGTCAGCACATGCCAATGGTTCTGCCGCACTTTCACCCCACATGTTCTGGCAGGCACTGGCAGAAACGGGTCGTCACTGCCACTTCCGAGTCCAAGTCCGGCGCTTCGGGCAAGAAGCTGCAACTTGCGGAGCTGATGCTGTTGATTTGGCACAAGCTCATGAATTGTGCGGACATCTGCTGCTTCAGAAGTATGAATCACATGTCTCTCTCCGCTACATGACATGCTTATTTCTTTCAACCGAACTGGTTTTCCCATGACTATTTTCCACAAGGTGTGGTGTCGAAGACTAAACGTCAACTTGGCACCACTGTGAATGTCACCGTCAGAACCTCCAGAACCATCAGAATCGGAATCAGTGTCTTCACCGAAGTCAGAATCAGCTTTAGAATCAATACCATCGCCAGCACGTGTCATCTTCTCCACCAGAAAATCTACCTCTTCAAAATCAACTGCCTCCAATTCTTCGTCATGAAGAACGAAACAAGACTTAGGGGACCAGCCCCATTCATGTCGCAGCCAGGATCCTCTCTCTTCCAGGGTGAGAATCACATCGCCCAGCGAGATGTAGAAATTGCCCGGGTCCACGATGTCAGCTTCTACATCTGGCTGCAAATGAATCGGCATGCCCTCTCCAAGTTCAGAACTTGCGTGATGTGCATCTGGCATTTCTGCCCTGCATCGTTTTCCATAAAGGAGGCACACGTTCTTTAGGAGCGGGTAAACATCTGATGAGCCAAAAGCGAAGGGTTTTTGCCCCCAATTCAGGGAAATCGTCTTTCCTCCACAAAGAACTAGCTCCGGGAAACGATGGCCTTTTCCTTCTTTCTCGTCTAGTCTCTTTCCATTCTGGTACAGGCTGGCCCGGCGCTTCAGCGTCATACAGGCATCCAAGAACATCTCCCTCTGCACATGTCACGGAGGTGAGGCGAAATTGGACGTCTGCTCGCCGCGCGAGCTGTTCTTCAATAAAGGCATCAGGATCGATGGTGGAGTCCTTCTTCTTCTCCAAGGATGCCTTTCTGACAGCAAAAGATGCTAGGCTTGCTGCATGTTCACGACCTGGCTGGCTCTCAAGAATCCATGACACTGACTGGATACTGTCACTTTCCTCCAAAGTGATCTCAAAGTAGACTTTCCGACTGACGGAAGCCTCACCCACCTCACCCGGTGCATTACTTGAAAACTGGCGAAAGCTCAGGGTCTCTGTTTTTGATGCAGACATCTTGTTGCTCGAATATCGCACTGCACGTTGCAGGAATGCACTCGGCAATCGCAAACACGAAGGATTTTGAATTCGCTTTGCAGACCAAGCACCTATGTCATGACCAGCGTGGTGCAGGGTTCCTTCCATCGCTTTGCTAGAGACCTTGCCAAGCCAGCAGTCCATGTCTGGCCTCCCACGAACAGCTAAAGTGATGCTCCGCTTTTGGAAAATGTCCAAAGCCGTGACGCAACCAGAGAGACCAACTTCCTGGCCAAGGGTCAGGGCCAGCTGCAGAATCCCACCGTGCTGAGTGGCTACGGCAATTGTATGCTCGGCCTCTTGCCCAGTAACCTGCATCTCACTCTCCCAAAGACCACCCAAACAGCTCTGAGAAGATAGACGAAAGTCCTTGAACAAATCCTTCAGGGAGTTGAACGTCGAGGCCCTGCCTTCACAGCAGGTGTAGTCCTCTTGACAAGAACCAATCAACTCAGCATAAGGTTCAAAGTTGCCTGTTGCACCTTGAAAGTACCAGATCAGCTTCACAGTTGTGTCATCCGGCCCTCTGCCCCACATACCTTCAAATCGACAGCGGCTTTGTCCCATCACACCTCCAACAGCCTTGTGACTGCAAGAGTCTACCTGCAGCCAAATGTGCAAAGACATGTCAGTTGGCAATGTGCCTGAATCCAACCCAGGCATTCCCATGTGGAGATCCAAGGCACTGAGGGCCCCTGTCAATGCGTCTATGTCAGAAATACCTTTCAGCTGCAATAGGTAGTCTGTGGACAATGTCTCATGCATCTGCTCCACTTCTTCCAACAAGAGCGGCTCTTGCAAATCTTCTGGCGCTATGCTGCCATCAGGCCAAACATAGAGCTCTCCTGAGGGCAAGTCACTGTATAGATCTGTTTCGGGCTTCCCCCAGTGAATGAGCGTTAGCCTTTCACCCTCGCTGGGGAGCTGTGGCAGGCAGAACCACATGGTGAGACTGTAGCGATCCACAAAGTTAAGATCTGATGTAGCTGCTTCAGATTGTTCCAACGGAATTCTCTGTATCACTACGGCCGATTTCTCCAAGGACCAGAACTGAAGATTTTGACCCTTTAAACGAGGGTCCTTGTCTTGCACAGGCTCGTTGTTCTCACCCACAAAGCTGATGAATCTGGGTGGGTTCAACTGCTGAAAACTAAAAACCGCACAAGCACCAGAGTCCTCTAGCCTAGGGTTCTCACCCAACTGCTCTTCTATCGCTTCGGCCCAAGAATCCTCCACCTGCTTCTTTGCCTCCAGTTCCTTCTCCTGCTGGTCTTTCCTTCCTTTCAACTCACTCGCAGAGACGTCTTGCAGAAAGTCATGGTGCTCTCTGTGGATTTCACTGAGCTGAAAGCCAAAACTTCCACGGATAGACTGCTCAAGACCTATTAGGCTTCTGCGGATGGAGTTGTTCTGTTCCTGTCCGGAAAGGTGTTCCAATTGGCCAAGGAACAATGAAAGTTCACCTTCCGAGATGCTTCCAGTTCGGTCAGCATCAATCTGCCGAAACCACTGAATCAAGTCCTCCTTCTCATCAGGCGCAATTTCAAACATACTCATCAAAGCAGACGACAGTTCCTTCACATCAATGTCTCCAGACTTGTCCATGTCCACGCGTGCAAAAAGACTTGAGATGTCATTGCGCAGAAATGTTAATGCTTTCTTCTTCAGCATCTCTCCACGCAACCTTTTAACTAGAAAGTCCCATTCATGGCTTGATCTAAAGACTTCTGCAACACTGAACGCCTGCCAGTTGTCCCCTAGCGCCCTGCGGCGACATCCACCCACTGACACAAAGAAGCGTTCCCTGACCAGCGGGTCTTCCCAGCACATCGCTTTCAGCAATGCATTCAGTTGATGTCCTTCAAAGGAGGTCTCGCAATTAAAGAACCTTGAGACTTGCACTGCCCGCTGCGTTTGAAAGCCTTGCTTGCCTTGCTCAAAGCCCACAGCTTCGTCCAAAGGCTGGTTCCAGTCCACCAGAGATCTCAATGCAAAACTGGCATTCTTGGCGCCAGCAAAGACTGGACAGTCTTTGCCGCCCTTGCAGTGGGCAATGCGTCGAAGAGTTTCTGCTTCTGCCAGGCTAAGCACGACAAAAAATCGGTCCGCTTCAGTTTCATGATGGACATTTGAAGACAACAGGCCTCTCATCCCCTCCCTGTCCAAGGCCTCACCAATGCAGTTCATGAAATCTGAACCTACATCAACGGCGGCAGCTGTGATAAGCCGAACATGCTCTGCCCCGAGGTGTTCGCCATCTGCAGCAAAAAGAGGCCAAATCTTGTCAAGACAATCTTTGATTCTGACCTCTTGCTCCTGCTGCTTCCATGGTGCCTGTTCTGATCCGCATGCACCAAAAGCTCTGTGACTGGACTCTGGGCGCCACTCCAAAACCACTGCCACATCCTTTACCCTCCTGAAGCCTGACCACTTCTTGCTGAAATAATTCCTGGAAATGAGAAGGTCAGCCGGCAAGTGCGGGAATGACGGGCAAAGCTTGTTGACCTTGAACTCAGAGGCCCTGTAGAACTGCTGAGGAATTGATTTGAGTGCGAGGCTGACTTTCACAGGAAAGGCCATATCGACTGGGATCGTTTCACTTAGGTTCAACTTCTGGTCACCCTTGCAAGAATTCAAGCACCGCTACCTCAAAAGGCCAATCATTCTGTCATGCAGCACCCCGAAAACAAAAATATAAACATGAACATGAGGCATGGCAAGCCAGCGTCACACCGCGATGATGTATGGCGCGATGACGCTTCGGTGATGCACCGTGGGGCGTAGGTTTGGGGGTCATCGCGTGTTGGGGTGTGGTGTCGGGGACGTGGCGGGGACGTGGCAGTTTTTTTGGAAAATGTTCTTTGAGTTCATGACTGAAGTGTCTCCTTGTTCTCAATTTGGTACGGTTTTCATACCTCTCCACAAAATCCAAACATACTGTCATCGAGTTATGCCACTGCAGCTTCTGAATCTGCCCTACTTTGCCACCTTGCCTTCCTGTGCCACCGTCTGCGTTCCTTTTGCACGTGATTGCCGTTTGCTGGATTTGGCAACACGATGTTGTGCCACAACATGGCAAGAGAAGGATGTGATGTGACTTCATCATCCCATGCAGCCGTTCGCACAAAGGTTTGCACAAGAGCACGTCGGGTTCGCACAAAAACACGAAAGATGTCTTTCCGAGTGGGATCGCATTCTTGCTTCTAGCCTCAAAAAAGCAACCAGTTGACCTCACTCTCGCCAGCATCGTGTTGTCATGAATATATCCAACCATCAACTTTATCAACTGCCTCCCCAGGTTAGGCTTGCAATCTTACAGTTCATTCAAGTTTTTGTTCCAAAAAGGACTGTGGCACATTTGATACCTACATTCCATGGCACAATTCAGGAGAAGCACAACACCTAGACGTAGAAGATCTGATTCAAGTGGCTAGTTTGTACCCAGCTTGAGGGCGCGGTGTCTTGATGGCAAGCAGTGATGAGCTACGAAACGCATGGTGAGTGGAGCGAGGCGAATGGCCAAGCACAGTGACATGTGTGGTGTGGTGACCTATCATGCTGCGTGCTGAGCGAGCCATC